TCCTGTAATCTCTATTTATTCTAACTGTCTCATTACTTATCTGTAATCTCTATTTCTATCTAAACTGCTCATTACTTTATCCTGTAATCTCTATTTTATCAAACTGCTCATTACTTTATCCTGTAATCTCTATTTTATCAAACTGTTCATTACTTTATCCTGTAATCTCTATTTCATCAACCTGCTCATTACTTTATCCTGTAATCTCTATTTTATCAAACTGCTCATTACTTTATCCTGTAATCTCTATTTTAACAAACTGTTCATTACTTTATCTTGAAAACATTTCCAAGCTATTCTTTACGTATGACTTTTCTGTCATATAATTTTCAACTAGGGTTTTATTTGTTTGAACTAATCTCTATTAATTCGGTGTAAACGAAGAATGTACTATTGTTTTTAACTTACGTCATGATACTTGTTGGACACTGCAGAAAGCTGCCCTCTAACGTCTGTCAAGGTTATTACATTCACAGCTATGACGAGCAATACCTACAGGAGATTCGATAAAATTCTCAAATCTTGTTTCATTATCTCTCCATCCTTTGACATATGCATTTAAAAAGCAAAGTGTTTTAGTATAGCAGAAAAAAACAGATTGGTAAAACGTCACTTACTCTTTGTAATTATGAGTACAGATAAACTTACCTTCTGTAACATGGTAAGTGTGTTATGTACGTTCCCTCTTTGTTATCTCCCAGAATTCGAAGTTATGTCTCTTTTATAAACTTCGTCCAGTGACGTACCCCGCGGGAACAGCCTGATATAAATATGTTCTGCACTTCATTCAACCCAGGCCTTGCCGTACCAGGCTTAACTTCAAACCACTAGTGATATCACGTGCTTCTGACCTTATCAGAATATAGATTTAAACAGCAACAAAAGAAAACCAGGAAACCCCACCTACTTCTTCAGGGGTTTACCGTCAGCATTTACCCTCACCGTAATAAAAACAAAAACAAAAAACTTTAGGTAATGGCCCATTTGGTAAAACCCAATGAAAAACTTCTGCAAGAATAGGATCACAAATTCACCGATTTGATTATATTAGTCTTACTGTAATAGGAGAAAAAAGTATATTCTGTTTAAGTACCAGTACAAGGACTGTAGAGTGATATAACTATAGGAAATAAGTACCGGTACAAGGACTGTAGAGTGATATAACTATAGGAAATAAGTACCGGTACAAGGACTGTAGAGTGATATAACTATAGGAAATAAGTACCAGTACAAGGACTGTAGAGTGATGTGGCTATAGGAAATAAGTACCAGTACAAGGACTGTAGAGTGATATAACTATAGGAAATAAGTACCAGTACAAGGACTGTAGGTTGATATGGCTATAGGAAATAAGTACCAGTACAAGGACTGTAGAGTGATATAACAATAGGAAATAAGTACCAGTACAAGGACTGTAGAGTGATATAACAATAGGAAATAAGTACCAGTACAAGGACTGTAGAGTGATATAACTATAGGAAATAAATACCAGTACAAGGACTGAAGAGTGATATAACAATAGGAAATAAGTACCAGTACAAGGACTGTAGAGTGATATAACTATAGGAAATAAGTACCAGTACAAGGACTGTAGAGTGATATAACTATAGGAAATAAGTACCAGTACAAGGACTGTAGAGTGATATAACTATAGGAAATAAGTACTGGTACAAGGACTGTAGAGTGATACAGTTATAAAAAATATCTACCACTACAGAGGTGATCTACATTTATGTATATGTGGTAAGAAATAGAATCATGGAGAATTATCTAGGTTGTGAGTAAAATAACGGTCCCCAAATTTGGAAGAATTTAGATCTGTGCAAGTTTTGGTAAATTGAATGATAGATTTGGGTTTATTTCTGTTTATAAAAAAAACTGTTTGGATTATTACAGTAGGTGTAGAAACAACAGTTCGATCGAGTAATACTCAAATACATTTTCAGTAGTAGTTTTTTTTAAAGGGGTGGGTCTTTAAAGTGCGAAAAATGCGGAAGTCTAGTTTGATCATCTAAAAAAACAAATGATTTAAATCTGATTTACAGATAGCCGTGTAAGTGAAAGAAAGAGTTGGCTGTTTTTATTCTTTTGTTGTTACTTTTCTGGCCTGTTTACTATATTCATTCTGTAAATAGTGTTTTAATATATGTTCATTTATAAATACATATGTATGTAAAAGAAGATTTTTCTTGTTATTATCATATTTTAACAGTTGAAAACGACTAGCGATTATCTTATCCATAACGTTAGTTGTAGTAAAGTCGAAGATAGATTGGAAAAAATAAACTTGGCGTATTATTTTCTGTACCAATAATTTGGTAAAACTAATGGGAAGCAATAATTAGTTACGTAGTTTTATTTCTGTTGTAATTTGTTTCAGAGGAAAGCCACTCTGAGCTATCTGCCGTGTTCAACGCAGAGAGTCGAACCCTGAACTTTAGCGTTACAAGTCCATACTTTTACCGCTGTCCCACTTGGGAACCACTTTTTTCACAGACTGAATAAACACGAAACATTTAATATCTACAGTCTTCTTTACAAATGTCCTCCTTCAACTTTGTAAGGTTATATAATCTTCCAGTATCACATTTTATAAAAGCTCATATCATATTTCTCACAAAATGCCCTGCTACAATTTTCTGTTGTAGAATTAAAGTTCTTTATCCTCAAGCTGCTACCATTTTCTGTTGTAGAATTAAAGAAATCCCCTGCTACCATTTTCTGTTATAGAATTAAAGTTCTTCACAAAATGCCCTGCTACCATTTTCTGTTGTAGAATTAAAGCTCATATAATATTTCTCACAAAATGCCCTCCTACCATTTTCTGTTGTAGAATTAAAGCCCATATAATATTTCTCACAAAATGCCCTCCTACCATTTTCTGTTGTAGAATTAAAGCTCATATAATATTTCTCACAAAATGCCCTGCTACAATTTTCTGTTGTAGAATTAAAGTTCTTTATCCTCAAGCTGCTACCATTTTCTGTTGTAGAATTAAAGTTCTTCACAAAATCCCCAGCTACCATTTTCTGTTGTAGAACTTTATAAAGTTCTTTATCCTCAAGTTATTTCTTCACGCAAGTTTGACCATTTTTTCTCTTTAGAAAAAACGCCGATTGAGCTTTGAAATAAATAACGAAAATTAGTTAAGATAATACGTTTGTTAAGTCAAGAGGAAAATATAATAATTATAACTCACTGTGCAAATAGCAAATTACAGACTCAGGAAAAAAAATAATTTCTGAAATGAGAGAAACTGAAAACTAAATAGTATCTTTGTGATAAACTTTGATCCACTTCTTGTGTTGACATACAAACAAGAAGTCCAGGTTTAACAATACCTAGGGGCGCTGTAGTAGCTAAGGTGGAATAACACTGCCTTGATAGAACCGTTAGTGAAAACTGGGCTATTGTTACAGCTGTTCCAAATGCTGGAATGTTACTAGTCTTACGTGACATTAAAAAGCACAGTAGAACGTAGTTTAATACTTTTTTACGACTGTTTTTTTTTTTTTGGTAACTGTAATATTACAGGTTACAATTCACAGTTTACTCTCCTAGAGAAGTGTAGAAGACCTAAAATGAAGGAACGTCGTAATGGTTTTTGACACTACCTCTAAATCAATAGCTTCCTCTGTGAATTTGAATCAAATTTTGGGTGAAATCTCGTATTTTAATAAATTTTAGAATATTAATCAAAACCAAAATTTGTGACGTCAGATCGAAATATATTTAACGTCCAGAAACAGTAAGGTTATAATAAGAGGTCAGCTACACATATAAAACACTAACAAGGTTATGACCCCTTTCTTTATCCATTTTGTTGCTTGTTCCAATTTCCTCCTCTTTAAATTAACAAAACATCTTTACAGAGTTTATATAACTAGGCATATCGCTTTACTTAGTTCTTTTCTCACAGACACACATAAACACTTCTTATACACAAACACACAAACACCCCTTAAACATACACACAGACACTCCTTAAACATACACGCAGACACTCCTTATACATACACACAGACACTCCTTATACACACACACTCCTTGTACATACACACAGACACTCCTTATACACACACACTCCTTGTACATACACACAGACACTCCTTATACACACACAAACAGACACTCCTTATTATGTATAAGGAGTATCTGTGTGTATGTGTATGTATAACGAGTGTGTGTATGTATAAGGAGTGTCTGTGTGTATGTATAAGGAGTGTCTGTGTGTGTACAAGGAGTATCTGTGTGTATGTACAAGGAGTGTCTGTGTATATGTTACACAGATACTCCTTGTACACACACAGACACTCCTTATACATACACACAGACACTCCTTATACATACACACACTCGTTATACATACACATACACACAGACACTCCTTGTACACACACACAGACACTCCTTTATACATACACACAGACACTTCTTATACATACACACAAACACTTCTTATACATACACACAGACACTCCTTATACACACAAACACTCGTTATACATACACACACTCTCCTTATACACACACACAGACACTCCTTTATACATACACACAGACACTTCTTATACATACACACAAACACTTCTTATACATACACACAGACACTCCCTATACACACAAACACTCGTTATACATACACACACTCTCCTTATACATACACACACACTCTCCTTATACATACACACAGACACTCCTTATATATACACACAGACACTCCTTATACATACACACAAACACTTCTTATACATACACACACTCCCCTTATACACACACAGAGACACTCCTTATACATACACACAGACACTCCTTATACATACACACAGACTCTCCTTATATATACACACACTCCCCTTATATATACACACAGACACTCCTTATACATACACACACTCCCCTTATACACACACACAGACACTCCTTATACATACACACAGACACTCCTTATACATACACACAGACACTCCTTATACACACATACACAGACACTCCTTATATACACACACACACTCCTTATACATACACACAGACTCTCCTTATATATATACACACACTCCCCTTATATATACACACAGACACTCCTTATACATACACACAGAAACTCCTTATACATACACACAGACACTCCTTATATATACACACAGACACGCCTTATACATATATATGCATATTTCAGTATATTTGGATGAATATATGTAACAAGTTCAACAGTGGACAACAAGAGAGTTCCTGTAGAAACTAACTACACGAACCGTATACTTTCACATCGTCCTTCAAACCTTGCCGGGACAGGCAGTGGACAACAAGAGAGTTCCTGTAGAAACCAACTACACGGACCGTGTACTTTCACATCGTCCTTCAAACCTTGCTGGGATAGGCAGTGGACAACAGGAGAGTTCCTGTAGAAACCAACTACACGGACCGTGTACTTTCACGTCGTCCTCCAAATCTTGCTGAGTCAGGCATTTAACATCGACTTTCAGAAATTTGTGGATTCCTAAGTAATTAATAATGTATACTTTATGAAACCCAACTGGAGGTTGATTGGTCAATTATAATTCTAGGCCACACTAAGTAGGGCTGTGACGTAGTGTAGCACTAGTAGCGATGACAGATGGTAGCTTACAGTCAATTATTGTTTTAATAAATTCTTTGTGGGTATCCATGCATTTTTATATAGTTTGAAGTTAGGATCTTTGCAACACCCTCCGAACATTAGAACATTTCCA